GGCGATCTTCCTCTATAACTTGAGTTATATGGGGATTGATTTCTTGTATAACTTGTATTGTTCGGAAGTGGTTTTCCGGAACTATTGTTGCTGTATACATTTTTGTTTGGTAGATTTTGATCTTTCTTCATATATTGATAGAATGACTTATTTGGTTCTTTGTATTTTTGAGGTTTATTTTGACTATCTTGCTGTTTTTGTCTACATTCAGAAATACTATGTCCGTATCGTCGGCAATAATTACACCATTTTTTGAAAGATGGTTTGCCTTTAAAGTTTGGGTTCTTTTCGTAAATATTGAGTATTTCAGTGATTTTTTCAACGAGGTCTGTGTCTGATTCCTGTATATTATTAATATTAGTGGGAGTCGTTTCAATTCTGTTAACGTATTGTAATTTCAGATTTTCCGTTTCTTCTAGTTTCATCGTGATTTCTGCTTGTTCTAATTTGTCTACTAGTTTTCGAAAATCTAAATCGGGTTCTCGAATTGAAGAAGGATGGGATGCTCTCTTTTTTATTGCTATTTTCCTTAATTGTGGTGTTAAGGTCATCATTAAGATTTCTGTCATCTTTGTATTTTTATAGTCGTGTGTATTTAGTGAATATGCTTTTCGAACTAGTGTTTCGATTCGTACTGCTAATTGCTTGATGGTTTCGTTTGGTAATCTGCGAATTTCATTACATAAAACTCTTTGTTGTTGTTTGTTTCTTTCGGAGTCAAACATTTTTGAAAATTCCTGTGTAAACCTTTTCCAATTTGATTTTATTTCTGGAGGTAATACTGAAAACCATTTTTGGGCTGCGCCATCTAAGGTTGTTTGTATCACCGCTGTGCGTCGATGTATCCAGTTTTGATGTAGTGGCGTATTAATTGGTTCAGGTCCAATGTTTAAAATCAAGTTTGCTGTTACTGCATTTAAATAATCTTCTACAGAGTATTCAGGGTCTGTTCCTGTGAAAACCATTAAAGGTTTGTTTGATGTTATTGATGATCCACCCATAAGGTATGGATTCATTGTCATTTGTAATGATTCTGCTGCATTTGGCATTTGAGAAAAATTTGAAAGTTGGTTTCTTGTTATTTCATGTTGTTGAAGATAATATGGGAGTGGTATTTCATTTTGCATTTGTGTTGGTTGATACGAGTGTGCAATCATTGGATTTTGTTGTTGAATTGGTTGAAAAGATTGTGTATTAATTGGATTTTGTTGCTGAATTGGTTGTTGATGTTGTGTATCTATCGGTTGTGCAGAAAAAATTCTATGATTTGTATGTGGTTTCTGTGCTCCTTGTCCACGATATTCTTGAGTATATGGTGCAAATATATCTGGTTGTAAGAAATCATCATCTGAGGATAAATAATCCATTTGATAAGATGTCTGTTTTTTATTTTTATTTTGTTGAAAAAATGGGTAATTTTCACTGCGATCTTGTGGAGTATTTGTTTGGAAATTTACTGAATTAGATTGGGCCATTGGGTTATCCCAATTTCGAGATCTTGTATATTGGTTAAAATTTCTTCGTGGTTGATAATTTGTTTTTGACGGATGTGTATAATTATAATTATGGTCTGCAAAGTTGTTTCTAGTGAATGTTTTGCGTGTTTTTGGCGGTATTGTCATGGGTCTGTATGTTTGGTAATCCATATGTGAATATTTAGGGGCAACCGAAGGTTTAACGGTTGATTGTAAGGTTACCTGTGTTTGTGAAGGATTTGTATTTCTTGGTGTTGTTAAGTTTGGACGTATTGGTGAAATACTTTGTTGTGTAGTTGTTGTGTGTACAATTTCTTCATTTATGAAGTGTGATGGTGTCTGGATATCTTGTTGAGTAAGATTCCTAGTTCCATTGAGGTTTTCATTGTGTATGACTGTAGAGTTTAAACTATTATTTTGTGTATCGGGCAAAAATGTATTATAGTTTAATGGTGTTGCATCAATGGTTAATGGTATTACTTTTACATAATCTCTTATGTAAGATATCGTACTTATTGCTTGACTTGAGATTGATTGTGGGAAGCTTATAAATGCGGGATGAGACCATTCGGGGTCCCAAACATAGTCTGATTGTTCTGTGATAGCGGTATCATCGTTCGAGTTTTGGGGTCTAAAATTTTTTCTTGCTTGTGCAATTAAATCAATATTGTGTGTGAAATAATCTATTATGAACCATGCCAAAATTTTTTGTAGATCGTGTTTTGTATGTTGTGAAACTTCGTCTTTCGTGAAATTTTCTTTAATGATGTTTAAATAACTAGAGAGTAGTGTGATCTCATGTCGTACTCTTATATGTTTAGATGTTTCTGTCGGTGAGACATTTGTTATTGGGATTTCGTTTTCTAATATCGAGATATAACTATATATTATTGCGAAAACTTCATTGGTGAATATGGAGTTTGCTCTTTGTGAGTTATGATATTGGATGCTTTTTATATATTCTGAAAATACTTTTGAAAATTCTAAATCAAGATCGTCTGTTTGAATTATATATTTACTATGATTATGGTTTGGTGAGGTGAATTCTATGGAGTAGATTCCATACTGTTGTGTTAAGTTACATATATCTTTTAGATAGTGATCTATGATTTGTCTTTTGATTTTTACATCTGGGAACTCTGTTTTACATGGACTTATTCCGGGTTCAAATAAATTTAAGAGTAAATTTTTGCAAAATATATGCTGTCCTCTATCAGTGGTTGCATCTACTATAAAAGGGAAGATTTCATCATCATCTGGGGTTTCGTCACCTGGGGTGTGCGTTGAGCTCATTTTTTCGTTCGATGACTGTTAATATGTAATTATTAATGTGTCGAATTGGTTGATTCCAATTGTATAAATGTACTGGTTTGTGTTTATACTGCTTTTTTATTCTTCTTTTTCCTCTTTTTGATGAATTTGAAGTTGTTTCTGAGTCAGAGAAATATAATTGATCGTGAAGTGGGCAATTTTTATCTATTGATTCTTTTAGTTTGTAAAGTTCGTCTAAACTGTTGGTTTCTGATTCTGAAAATGCGTTTCGGTTTTTTGAAAATCTTTTTCGTGTTATTTGTCTTTGTTTAGTTATTATTTTTCTCTTTAGTGTTTGTCGTTTTGTTCGAATGTATCCAACTGTTTGTGTATGAGGTGTGATTACAAGGTCGTATTTTTTGTTATCTATTTCACAATTGTGTAAAACGATTGTTTGTTTATTTCCTAGGTTTTTAAATGACATAAGGTTTAGGATGACGGATGCAAAGGGTTGTTAAGTTAATTCTAATTACTTAAACTGTTAGTCCTTACGATTTTTTGGTTAGCTTAACCTGGGTCTATTTGTTCAGGGTTGGAGAGAAAAGTATATCTATTCCGGAGAATGATTTTTACTTTCTCGTGACTAGTATAAGCTAAGGTGTTAACTTACTTAACCTTACTTAGGGGTAGTGATTGTGTTCAAGGGTTGGAGAATAGTAAATCGATCCACAAGGTTCAGGTATAATTAGAACGCGAGTAGTTCGTTAGATACTATTTTAAACTTACTAAGTCTAAGATTTATCCTGGGTCTGGTAAGAGGTGGGAGTTAAGTGAAGGATGAATAACCGAAGTTCTTCACTGTTTATCCTAATTTGAATGATTAGTTTTGTTTAAAAATTTCTATTAGTCTTGGGTCTGTAGAAAGGGTTGGATAGTGAATCGACGTTTGAGGTCGTTAGACACTAGTTAAGTGGGTGGGGGAGAACAAAATTGTTCTTTTTGATCCAAGGATAGGCCTTGATGATCAAGTTCGAAATTTAATTAACTAGAAAATGATTTAAGATCCAAGGATAAGCCTTGATGATCTGATTTTAAAATTAAGTGAATTTAAATTTTAATAAAGATTGAAATTTATTGTAAAGAAAAGATTTAGTGTTTTGATGATATTAGTGAGCTTATGAATGCTGTTATGTTTTAGGTGATGAAGCTGGGGCAACAGAATGATTTATGATTACTAACCATTTATTGTCATGCTACTAATTTTTATTTTTGTTTTACAATAAATATTTTTCAAACATGTTTTGTATATTACTGCAGAGTTTAGGAAAACGATCTGAGATCTTTTTATCAATCGTTATTGTATATTAATAATTTTGTTTAGCGCCTGAAATGATTTTGAAGATTAACTTCAAGGTTTTATGTTTGCAAATGAAAATCTAAATTCATTGCCAGTAGTATTCTAAATATAAAAGTTTGTTCTGGTTTTTGCCTAACTATCATATAACTATATGGCAAGTTTCTACTTTGTCGTATGTCGTCTCTGGTTCGAGGTCTTCTTCCAATTCCGGGTAGTTCTGTTATGGTTCGGAATATTGGCTTTGATCTATTGAGTCGTAGAGACATTTCGATTAAATTATTGTCGTATAACATTTTGTAAATGTTTTTGTCTAATTTCTAATCTATTTTGGTTAATTCTAAGCTATTAAGGTCTTGTTCGAGACTTATGGTCGCACCAGATGAGTTAGGACCGATGGGTATAACTCATAGAGTAATTTCGGATAGGGTACACCGTCTGCTCGTCACGCTATCTTATTTTCGGCCGGATAGATTCGTGCAACTTCTTAGTCTAATACCGATCCTAATCTTACTCTTATACTATCTAGTCTCAGGTTGTTTAACTAGTCTCTGCTAGGCTCAATAGATCTAGGGTATACTGGTTTATTGCGGCTGCTGAAGTGCTCGGGAGAGTTCAACTAATTTCTAAGTTAGATTCAAATCTCTCTGGTGCTGAAATTACAAGTAATTTCAGCACTTACAAATAAGTGGGTTGTTAGTTATATGGATCATGATTGGTTAATATTAAATACTTTACATTGGTAAAATATCTAATTTATCCAATCGTAAAATGTAGTTTAGATCAGGTTCCAAAATGTTCATCTCTTCCTAATGCAACGGAAACTTAATATAACACGTGATCATGCTAAATCAGGATCAAATGTAGGTGAAAATGAAAAAAATGGGTAAAAATTGATTTTTCGTAGAGTTGAAACAAATTTATTTTTTAAAAGTGAAAAGTTTTCTAGAAAAAAGCCGGTCCTGGTAAGTCCACGTGACGTTAGAGTACGGCTGGATGAGTTCTGGATCCCAAGGCGACTTCACTTCCAGGAACTGTCCCTCGACTACTGGAAGATCAAGCACAAAACTCTGGTACACATACACTGAAAAAAAAACACCTAAAGTAGATCTGGTTCTCGTAATCTCCTAGTCTTTTAGTCCTGGAAAACTTTATCAAGATCATAGTTAATTATCATAGATATTTCCAAGATCTTGCCAGATCCTGATCCTTTTAGTGAGACTTGGCAATAAACCTAGGATGTCCAAAAATGCGTGGTAAACTCATTTTTGTCTATTCACAATTTAAAATCTTGCCAAGATATCCATGGTGACTTGTTCTTGGAAATCTTGGATTTTACAGCTGTCACTCGTACATCTTTTACTCCTAAGTCATGTGCTAGTATGCTTTGAGTCATATGGTTTTTATAAGAGCCTAGAAGTCAAAAAAGAATGCTAGTATTAGGGGCTCATTTTCCTTTTCCTCCCACCTGCAAATTTTTTAGAGTAAATTTTCTGTTCATGTTTTCGGATTGTTATAAAATTTGGCATATGGACTTATTAGGCCATGACAAACACACTTGGTCTTCATACTCAACCTTGTAAAACCACTCGTTACACCATGAAATTGATGCTTAGGTGAGGTGGGAGGAGGGGGAGGAAAAAGAGCCGTATTGGGACAATGACTCACATTTCCCCAGATGTTCTTTAAAAGTTGGATTAAATTTTCGAAAAAGGAACAAATTATTCTCCTGAACGCGAATTCCTTTTATAGTGAGGTTTTTTGTATCTCGACTTATAGGTTATTTGGACCAGTTAGGGTGCCGAAACTCAATTTAGACTGATTTTTAGTCGGAATAATAAGCCGCGTTTGCTACGCGTTGATACAAAAAAAAAATATTCTGTGATAGAAGCTGGCTTACATAAAAATCCCGAATGGGTTCAATTTAAAAAAATCCAAAATTCAAACCCCACTAAATTCTCAACAGGACTGCTCGTAAATATATTGTAATCCAGGACAAAGCCCTGAGTGTTCCGACTGCCCCTTAATTGGACTCGATTGTATATATTTCTAAAATTTGTCCAAGTGAAAATTTTGGGCAGCCAAATACAAATATATTGTGATATTCGATATTGTGATTTTGTGATATCATGTCGAATTTAAATGACCAAATTTTTTTGCCTTAGTTCAACCTCGAGCGATTATTTTAAACGAGAATTCACGACGCAATGACAATACGCGCATTGAAGCTATTAAATAAAAATCCATTATATTCATCTGTTGATTTTGGCTAGTGACAAGCACACTCGATTATCAATCCATAAGTCCCGGATCGGTATACAATATTGCCAAAATTTCTCTGTAAACGTGGTCTGAACCGAGAAAACTTCGCCACGCATGTATATTCATCAGTTTTTGCAAAAACTGGAACAAAAAGACTGCATGTATATCAGGGCAAATTTGGTCTTGAATAGTTTTCGGTAAATAAAAATTTTGAAAACCTTTTAATTTTGGACAGTATCAAAGATCAAGTGCAAAAACTTGAGTTGCGCAAAAACTATTACGACCGCTTAGCATGTCTCCATTCATTTTGGACATTGTATTGCGGTGTTATTTGTCACGCATAAATACTTTGTGTAACGTTTAAGCATCACAAATATAAAAAAATTATAGTGCGCACAACTTAGTCAAGAGCTTGGTCAAATTGGCAATTTTCAAACCGTCAGATTTTTACCAAAAAAACTTATCGCAGATAAACTATCTCTTTGAATTTCAATTCAAGTAGTCGATATAATCAAACAGGGTAGGATAAAAAAATAGGTAGAAACTATCATTTCGATCGCCAAAATTTCAATGAATAAAAAAATTTTCCGTCACTCGGTTCGAACATCAAAAAAGTTAAATCGAAGAACCAAAAAGCTTTAACAAAATTTTGATACGCAAATTTTCATTTTTCTATCTTTTCACTGAATTTTTGATCAACGAACGGAGTTTTTGGATTTTTGATGGAGTTTTTCAACGTCATCTTAAATAAATTGATGCACTGAGCTCATAAATATTGAAATGTTTCACTCGTAATAAAAGTTGAATTCGGTTGTGAGATTCATACGAAAAACGAGCAAAATTAAAATGGAAATTAACTATTTGCTTATTTTTTTTCAGTCATTGTTACAACTGGTCTTTCCCATTTGGTTTTAAATGAGTTTCACTTCAGAGTTTTCATTGTTAGCTAATAACTTTCAACAATCAAAGTGAGAGCCAAACTCACTTTAGTGCAAAATTAAGCTGTTTATTTTTTCCCATTTTTCGAAGAAAGTGATGGAATAATTGTGTTCTTTTCTTGCTGACAAAATCCACCTTACCTTCATTTTTGACTGAATTTTTTTATCATCTAAGAGAATTTGTTGACTTAAGCTCAGCTTAGAAAAAACTTTTTACATGTTTTGCAAATTTTGTATTTGAAAACTGCAATTTCACCAAACTTAAAAAATTATTACGAGCTATTTAAATGATTTTCTGATCTAATTTGTCCAAATAAATCATTATTAAACGATAAAAAATCCAATGTTGTTGGTGAATGACAAGGAAACGGGTCTGCTCTAGACAACAATTTTTTAAGCAAAACTTGAAACGTTTTTCTGCAGAGAAACTTAACAAATTAGGCAGTGAAAAAATAAATGTTTCACCATTTGCTTGCCCCGAAATCGAACGAAATTGAGATAAATTGTTGTAATAGTGGTCAAAACTTTGGTGAACAATTTCTTTTTGTTTCGCCGCCTAGTAGTTTCGGTTTTGTTCGCATTACTGTTTCTCAGAAATTTCTGTTAATCTCAGTGTCTAGAGCAGAAACGTCTCCTTTTCATTTATCAAATTATTTTCAAAAGTACAAAATAAACGTGTTCTAAAAATGGTCGACAAAAATTTACAGAATCTCCGTGGAAAAATTCTTAAGTCCGTGCTTGTGTGCTGATGGGAACTTAGTTTCGCTGTGCTGAATTTCTACTGTGCCGATTTGAGTCTCTGAAATATATGTTTGCATGCTTTTCACATTGAGTTCGACTTGAGGTGTACGACATGAGCTGTTGAGCTGTTCGACTTATGTTTCGACCGAACTCGGTCGAACACACGGATGTTGCTCAAACCAGAACCCGTCGTCGACAACAGCCCTTTCGGTCTAGTACTATTTCGAAACGTACAATAGTCGAAAACACCGTCGAAATGTAACCTAATACTATTTCGATTCATGGTCGACAACAAAGTCGAAATGCAAGTATGGTCGAAACATAATCGAGTTCAAAGTCAAACACAAAGTGTTGGTCAAAACTTGGTCGAACACAGTCAAACCTAGTTAAGCTCAAGAAATGGGGCGCACATGATCTTCGACAAAAGTCCGAGCTGCGATTTTTTGTCAAAAAGGTAACAACTATTGAAGCTTCCATGTACTAAAAAAAATTCAGATTTTTGACACATCCAAACTGAAATACCTGATGGATAAAAAAATGAAAAGATTTCAATTTATTTTAGTAGTTGGTATTTAAAAAAATCCAGGTTGATCAACTTTTGAATAGCCTAAATTCTACAGACTGTGAAAAATATTCGGTCAAAACAGCCTGTTTGGGTCGAGTCGGTCGAAACATAGCACGCTTGGGTCTAACATAGTCAAACACATTTTTGCTAAAGTCGGTCGAAGCATAGCTCCTTTTGTCAAGCTGGTCAAAACATAACTCGAATACCTCAATCCGAGTTTTCCGCGAGGAAGTTTTAAGTACCTATCTATTCTCGCCGAGTGTTTATAAAAAAACTCAAGATCATTTGTTTAATTTGGAAAGTCATGAATAGTGCAAATGGTGAAGACCTAAAGTGAGTGAGCATCCCAATCAGTTGTATTTGTATCATGGCGGCATATTAGCCTATACAGGTAGACCTAGGTTAACTATGATATAAAAAACTTGGTTCCAAGAACAGACAATATGATTATTATCCAAAAAAAAACAACTTGGAAGAACGCTACAAATTTACGATAGCCCTTTCCCACTAAAATATCCAACATAATCAAAACAATACCCATAAAAACTTTTTGAGGCAAAATATACTCGGGTTTGGGCGATTTGCCCGCATATCAAATTTTGATGCAGTCAGACATAAACCAGAAACTCCTCAAGTCAATTTCCGGTAAAAAAAAAGAAACGGAAAAAAGTAGAAACGGAAAAAAGTAGAAACGGAAAAAAGTAGAAACGGAAAAAAGTAGAAACGGAAAAAAGTAGAAACGGAAAAAAGTTGTAACGGAAAAAGTTGAAACGGAAAAAAGTAGAAACGGAAAAAAGTAGAAACGGAAAAAATAGAAACGGAAAAAAGTAGAAACGCAAAAAAAAGAAACGGAAAAAAGTTGAAACGGAAAAAATTAGAAATGGAAAAAAGTAGGAACGGAAAAAAGTTGAAACGGAAAAAAGTAGAAACGGAAAAAAGTAGAAACGGAAAAAATAGAAACGGAAAAAAGTAGAAACGCAAAAAAAAAGAAACGGAAAAAAGTTGAAACGGAAAAAATTAGAAATGGAAAAAAGTAGGAACGGAAAAAAATAGAAATGGAAAAAATTAGAAACGGAAAAAAGTAGAAACGGAAAAAATTAGAAATGGAAAAAGTAGGAACGGAAAAAATTAGAAAGGGAAAAAAGTAGGAACGGAAAAAATAAGAAATGAAAAAAAGTAGGAACGGAAAAAAGTTGAAACGGAAAAAAGTAGAAACGGAAAAAAGTAGAAACGGAAAAAAACAGAAACGGAAAAAAGTAGAAACGGAAAAAAGTAGAAACGGAAAAAAGTAGAAACGGAAAAAACTAGAAATGGAAAAAAGTAGGAACGGAAAAAATAAGAAATGGAAAAAATTAGAAACGGAAAAAAGTAGAAACGGAAAAATTAGAAATGGAAAAAAGTAGGAACGGAAAAAAGTAGGAACGGAAAAAATAAGAAATTAAAAAAATTAGAAATGGAAAAAAGTAGAAACGGAAAAAAATTGAAACGGAAAAAAGTAGAAACGGAAAAAAGTAGAAATGGAAAAAAGTAGGAACGGAAAAAATAAGAAATGAAAAAAAAGTAGGAACGGAAAAAAGTTGAAACGGAAAAAAGTAGAAACGGAAAAAAAACAGAAACGGAAAAAAGTAGAAACGGAAAAAAGTAGAAACGGAAAAAATTAGAAATGGAAAAAAGTAGAAACGGAAAAAAGTAGAAACGGAAAAAAGTAGAAACGGAAAAAAATAGAAACGGAAAAAATTTGAAATGGAAAAAAGTAGGAACGGAAAAAAGTTGAAAAAAAAAAATAAACACGGAAAAAAGTAGAAAAGGAAAAAAGTAGAAACGGAAAAAAAGTAGAAACGGAAAAAAAAAGAAACGGAAAAAAGTGGAAACGGAAAACGTCGAAATAGCAAACCTGCGAACCCGTCCGCCTCGTTCATCCCATCATTCATTGCGAGAGTGAGTTGGTTACTTCCAAATACGGTCACTTCATTTAACTCCATCGAGGTCACATCTCCTTCAGCCGTCGAGACTTCAACCCTCACTTCCGGTGACGTTACTGCTTGAACTGACACAATTAAGAAGTTTCTAGAAGAAGTCGTGGCTATGGTCCACTGACAGGATCTTCCGTCGATCGACTATAAAAATTTTAAATGATTTTTATTCTTACAAACATTTTATCACATAACAGAACTACTGCGGCTTCATTTGTTTGGAGCTATTTTTGAGCTATCACCAATTCAAAAGTCTTGTCTTCATGACAGGTCAAGATTAATGCTGAATAATTATGGATAATTTCATCAAAAATTATTAATTACAACTTTATATGCCCATTTGAATCCAATTTTGCATGCCATCTACTCGTGGAATCCTCATTTGGCAGAAAAACCGAATGACAGAAAGTCAAATTAGCATATCCGAATTCAAGTTTTTGAAAATCTGAAAAGAAGTCCTGGTATTCAAGTCTGTTCTTTTTACTATTTAAAAACATTTGATTAGTTGGAAGCTTTCTGCCATTCAGGTTCGCTCTGCCGTCTTAATGCTCCCCCTTCTTCCTTTGACTGACATACCGACTTACTTGATTGTGTCCGACAGCTGAGGTGAAGTCCCCCTCGGAAGGAGTGAATATCAGCTCATCCAGGTGGAGACCCGGAACGACAGTGTTATTACACACAGTCTGCCTCGCGAACACCGCCTGAGTGGAGGATATCAGGGATGTGGTGTTTTCCAGGGGCCACAAGTCACAGGGACACTTCATGCTGACGTAGGTTCTAAGAAGACACTAATATCAACGATGTGCAGGTTACTTCAAAAACGCAAAATTGGCAACAATGGTCGTTTGTTGCGCAAGTAGCCCAGAAAATTGTGTTAACATTTAGTTAACGCACATTCAAAATTTGAGGGAAAAAAATCAGTAATAATCCAAAAAAAAAACACATTTTGTTTTTCACATTTTTCTAAAAGCGCCATTGTATAATTATTTTGAGGGGGAGCGCTCGTTACGTTGGTGTTGCTTATAACTCACTTGATGTCTTCAAAGTAAAACTCTGAATCATCGCTTTCAAAACTATGTCTCATCAATTGACCCATAAAGCCAACATCTCTGGACTTGATTTCAAACTGGACAAAGAATGGACTGGAAAGCGAACTGGATCTGAACTGGTTCACTCGATTGGACCACTCTATAGTAGTTTCTCTCGGATAAGTTTGAACAGTCGAACTTGCGATAAACCGATATTGCAACCCGAACGGCTGCGTTTCGTTCCCGTTATTCGGGAGATCAGTTTGAAGCGTGAATTCCGAGAAATAGAAAACCGAATAGTTAGAAACGAGACTAGACCCAGAGGAACCAATTGTTATTGTTTTTGTTTCCAAGTTGACGTCAAAATTGTAATTTACTATAGTAGAATTATCGAATTCAATGACAACGGCAACTAGATTGTTAGACTCCGAACGAATTGTGTAAACGCAAAAATCCAACGGCAAAATATCTTCAGGAACATTTGCGGGGTGTTCCGGCGAGAATACAAAACCCGAGTCCAACTGAAAATCGTAGTCGCAAATTTGTTCATAATTAACAACCGCGCCACTTGGAGTGTTTGTAGTGTTGATAAATGTTACGTAAAGTATGTTCGTCCAAGATGAAGTAACGAAAAAGGAATGTTCCGCACAAGCTGATTTGATTTGACCCGAGTTTTCTTCTTCATACTGAACCGAGAAGTTGTTGCAATTCATGTTGTCGTTGTAAGGCGAATCATTTATGGCGAATGAAGCGTTTATTTTCATCCATCGATAAGGAATTATTGACCAATCAAAAAGCGATGCATTTGCAAAATCGAGATTGATGATGTATAATTGAGGCGTAGTGATGGAGATTTCCGGCGAGCAGAAGAATCCCTGTTTTCCTCGAAGCTCTGTGAAACCATTCTCTAGAAGAAAAAATTTGTTCATCAAATCTACAAGATTTAATCTGGTTATACACGAGGGAAAGGACCAACACTCCAGTTGTTCTGCTGTTTATCAAAAACAAAACTACTTTTGTGAACCCTGATTAAAACCTATGTGCAACTTTTTTGACTAATTTTCAGGCTAGGAAAGATTTTTTTTTGAGAAAATGCAACATCAAGTCCTTGTAGAGTTTCTGAGAAATTGATTCTAATTTACTTATGAACTTGACTTAAAGCAGTTGTCATGTACCTTCGTGTGGTTCTAAGAATAAGCGATACTCAATAACAATGTCAGCTTCGCCTGAAAACTCCAATTCAATGTTTTCAAAATTGAGCAAAATAATCTCGAACAAATCATTATTCCGAAACTAAATTGGCTTTCATCAGTAAAGGACATTATCTGCGATGGCTGTGGTATAAGATAGCTATATTATCACTGTTTAAGCTATTTATAATAAATGTTTATAACTGCTAGTTGAGAAAAACTGAAGCTTTAATTCAAAGCCGGGCGAAATTTTGTGGAAAATTTTCGAGTTTATTGGTATGCCTTTGTTCAAAAAAAACCAAAAAAATCGGTTTCGATTGTACCGAATGATTGTGTAAAGTAGTTTTGACTAGCCGTCTGATAAGTCAAACAAAATATTCGAGAAAAATAAGTGAAAACAAAAAATGAGGTATTGATTCTAGTCAATTTTAGGCAAGGAAAATTAAAAAACCAAAATTTCACATGAAGATGCTAGCATGAAAAAACAACACTGGTGTTTCGAAGTCTCGATGTTTTCATCAATTCTCATTAAAGACTAGCTTTTGTGGAAAAAAAAAAACATTTTTCCCGCAGATGAAAAAAAAACAAACAACTTCATCTGAACTAGCACCAGTGTTTTGCTTGGTTTTTAAATCCATTTGCACAATACTTAGCTTTTTTGTGTTTAAGTCTTCAGACATTTAGGAATGGGCCTGTATACCTAGTTTTTTTGTGCAAAATTTTTTTTAAAAAATGGACCCTAAGAATCTTCCATACTAGCTTTAAATTTTTCTGAAACAATCAAAACTATATTAGTGAAATTACACTATCAAACGCTTGAGATTCCTCTCGTTTCACAAAATTTTTTAAAATGATCTTTACTTGCACAAATTTGAGAAAAACTGACCGTTGACTGGAAAGTAGAACCTGTAGTCAATATCCACGTCAATATTCGTGCCGACTGAAGTGACGAACTGAATGTTGGCGTTTATGGAGCTGGTGACGAATACTTCGTAGGGTGCGGACTGTTCCAACGTGGTAGTATTGCCATCGGGACTCACCACCAAATGGGAAGGAGTGGGAAGGGTAAGCAAACTGTATGCAAGCGATGGGATCAATCAAGTCTTAGATTTTAAGCGCATCAAAAATTAACATCATAACTCCCTAAATTGGTCGAGCTTTTTCTTGATAATCACGCTTCCAACTTTTTCTTGACAATTAAATTGATGATCATACTTAGTGATCCCTCGAAGCAAATCTTGCTTTGACAAAAAATGCGAGGCATGCAATATTTAGGACTAGCGTTTTACCCAAGCTATATAAAATTGTATGACCAGAAAAAAGTACAGAAACACAAAAACGCTAGTTAGTTTTAGTTAGGTTTCATGATTGTTTTTGTTTTCCAAGCATTTTTTTTGTTTACCAAAACTTAAAGGTTTGCCTTTCAGCTCGAGCTTTTCACCTTTCTGATAACAGCATGTTCAACAAAGCAGTTACATTTCATTTTTTAACATCCATTCTGACTTCAATAAGTTTAAGTACGTTCGCTTCCTAAAATGCAACATTTGCTTGCAATTTCTCCGATCGAGGTTTCGACTTAGTTTCGACCGAAATGACCGAAATTTAGTCCAATAGTTCGGGGCTATACTTATCTTTGGACACCCCAACACACAAATCATGGGTTGACAAAATGGAAAAGCTTAAATGACTATTTTGTGTCTGAAAATGTGTTTTATGGTAAATTTGGGAGGCTAGAAAAAACAAAAATATAAATTTATATAATCATTGCACAATCATAACCAGTGGCCTGCGCAGACATTTGGGGGGGGGGGGGGGGGGGTGGCGGCGGTTTTTTAAATGATTTTGATTTTCATTTTCCGAGCTCTCTGAAAATACATACGGACCCTATTTTGTCGAAAAAAAGTTTTTTCTGCGCCCAGGGCAAATGTTTTAAAAGTAAGGCCAAAAAAGGCGTTTCTAGGCACTTTTGGAAAACTTTGGCCAAAAAAATTGCGTTTTTTCGGCGCGTGCTCCCCCTCCAAATTAGTCATATTGACGCCAAAGGAAAAAATAAGTCATATTGGCGCCTTTAGAAATCTTTTGAGGTTGGCTGGATGACGTAAAAATATACCAAATATACCCCCTCCCTCGGAACGCTATTGTTCATAACACTAATCGACATACTTCCTAAATTCATCCTAGCAGCGTCTCTTTGATTGATTGATCCCTGTATGAGTCATCATTTGCATCGGCTATGAACGTCGAATAAAGATTAGCCAGAGGTGTAAAGGACAGTTTAAGCGCGAAGCCAGGCGAGTTCTCAACTACAGCAGTACGGTTGAAAAACACTTGGCCATTGGCGCCCGCACCGTCCACCACCATCTGAGAGGGTCCCACGTGTTGGGATCCAACTGGACCCGAAAACTCAAAAGCAGGCTGACTGCTGCCAAAACTAAATGCAAAAACTAATAGAAATAAAAGGATTCGGAAGTTTAATTTGGAGTATAAAACTAAAAAATTTGGAATCGAAGTCAAAAATGATAGCATATTTTTAGAATTGAATTATTTAAAACTGCTATATGGTCGCCTGTGAAGCTGCTATATGTTTGTTTGCTTAATTCGATCGGTTAAAAATGGAAAGCAAAACAGAGTTTCAAAAAGTGTCACAGTATCGCTGCCAACAATGTCTTTGAACCGGCAAAATTCAAGCCAAGTTTTTACCTCTTGTTTACAAATTGTGGAAAAATGTCAAAAAATGTAACTAAAAATAAATTTGCTTCAAATCAAGCCAAAAATCATGGACGCAGTAATTGGATCTGAATATCCAAACAATGAGAACGAACTCGAAGGATGATTCAAAAAATAAAAAACGCCTTGCTGAAAAAACCTTGCGCAAAAAATTTCCAAAATGGCCGAGTGGAAATGTAGATCATGAAGAAGTGTCTTCCAGAATTTTCAATCAAAGTATAAAACTTTGAACCAGGGGCGGATTTAGGGGGAGGGGCGGACGCTTTTTCCTCCTCAGAGATTCGACCCCCTGCCGACCCAAAGGGTCCCCCCTTTGAACTATTTTTAGATATCAAATTTTGGCTGACGGACCCTAAAATTTTTCTAAAGGCGCCTTTGGCGCCAATATATAGTTATTTTAAGGGGGGATCGCGCGCCAAAAAAACTCAATTTTCTGATAAAAGTTTTCCAAAAAATGCCTAAAAACGCCTTTTTTGCCCGTTTTTTTTTCAAAATTTTGCCTGCGGCGCAAAAATTTTGGCCAAATCAGGGATTTGTTAGTGCTTTGGGAGAGCTTGAAAAACCAATTTGGTCGACCTAAAAAAAGGCCGACAAAATTTTGAATTGGCGTGTGGGGGGGGGATGATTTTCATTAAAAAAAAATTATTTTTTAGAAAAAAAAATTTTCATTTTGTTTTATTTCATTGAATTTTTTAATGTTATTACTGCTCCATATACCTTAAATGGCAGTCGGAACATTCAGGGCTTCGCCCTGATACGAGCAGTCTTGTTTAATTTATAAAATCATAATAGTACTGTCAGTTTCGCGCCGTAATACATTTGAGAATATCAAAATTCAATAGCGAAAATTGTTTCAATAACCATAAAATTTTTTTTTTCAAAAAATAATACATTCTTGCAAGGAAATTGTTTATGATACAGATTGTGAGATTGGACTGGAAAGTCGCTTCCCAGAGAAAAGTCAGTCGAGAAATGAATGCGTAGAGATAAAATGTTTGCTTCAGATCTTGAACTTTCTTACTGCGTGTGAAGAAAAACACTCCGAAATCTATAACAGCTCAACTCGCTGCAAGTTTTGAAGATACTCTGATTCAATTTATGATGGAAAATAACATAAATCAGAACAAGATTGCTCGTATCAGGGCGAAGCCCTGAATGTTCCGACTGCCTTTTAAGGTTTATGCAGCAGTAATAACATAAAAAATTAAAAGAAATAAAACAAAATGAAAAAAAAAAAATTTCTAAAATTTGAATTTTTTTAATAAAAATTATCCCCCCACACGCCATATAAAGTACAAAAGAATAGATTTGGCTCCTTGTAACAAACCAATTATGGCAAATAAGCTTCTTTCAATCAATTTAAGACGATTTCTAAGGCGGATTAAAACTCCGCTTACGCGTTAATAGCGCGAAATATATCCCGCGTTAATTGTCCCAAATTGGCCAAAATGGCAATCTTTAAACCCCCATAACTTTACGAAAAATGATCACAGGTGAAATATCTTTTCAAATGTTAGTTCAAGACAACAATACTTTTCGAATGGTATAAAAAAATTCCGTCAAAAATGGCTAGTTAAAAAGTCGAAATTTCTCTGAAGAAAAAAAACCCACCCCGAGCACAAATATTCCGTTACTTTCGTATCGAAAGTCGGAACAATAATAAACTAGAGGGTCATATTTCAATGCTAGAAGAAAAAACAACGGATCCTAAAACTCGATCTTTATTTGAATGTCTTCTACAGCAAAATTCAGAAAAAGACGATATTGTTACAAGATTACAAAAAAAATTACGGATCGGGAGGTGAGGATGAGTAATCAGAAGCGCTAAATCTCAAAGAAATATGCAACATTTTACGAGGTTTTCTGAAGCATGATACGACCCCAAGCAATTTTAAAGCTTGCCTTTTTTGGCGCAACCTTGAAATTCCCTCAGCGGTTGTCATAAAATTCTTCTAATTTGATGAAAAAAATTAATTGTATTCAAATAAAAGTTGACTGGCCAGTTCAAAAAACTAGATTAAAGGACATTCGAATTTTTTTTAAAGAAAGATTTCCACCAAATTATTGAGATATAAAAAAAACAAGACTGCTCGTATCAGGGCAACGCCCTGAATGTTCCGACTGCCTTTAAGGTTTATGGAACAGCAGTAATAACATTTAAAAAATCAAATGAAATAAAATAAAACGAAAATTTTTTTTCTAAAATTTGAATTTTTTTATGAAAATCATCCCCCCACACGCCACAAAAAGTACAAAAATAGAGATTTCGTTCCTTGTAACAAATTAATTATGGCAAATAAGCTTCGTTCAACCAATTTGGAACGATTTATAAGACGGATTAAATCTCCGCTTACGCGTTAATAGCGCGAATTATATCGCGCGTTAATTGTCCCAATTTGGTCAAAATGGCCAAAATGGCAATCTTTAAACCCTCATAACTTTACGAAAAATCATCACAGGTGAAATATCTTTTCAAATTTAAGCTCAGGACAACAATACCTTTTGAATGATATAAAAAAATTCCGTCAAAAATGGCTAGTTAAAAAGTCGAAATTTGTCTGAAGAAAAAAAAAACCCACCCCGAGCACAAATATTCCGTTACTTTCGTACCGAAAGTCGGAACAACAAAACTGCTCGTATCAGGGCAAAGCCCTGAATGTTCCGACTGCCTTTTAAGGTTCATTGAGCAGCAGTATTACATAAAAAAATTAAATGAATTAAATTAAAATGAATTTTTTTTTAATTTGAAATTTTTTATGAAAATCATCCCCCCACACGCCATATAAAGTACAAAAAGATAGATTTCGTTCCTTGCAACAAATCAATTATGGCAAATAAGCTTCGTTCAATCAGTTTGGAACGATTTATAAGACGGATTAAATCTCCGCTTACGCGGTAATAGCGCGAACTATATTGCGCGTTAATTGTCCCAAATTGGTCAAAATGGCCAAAATGGCAATCTTTAAACCCTCATAACTTTACGAAAAATGATCACAGGTGAAATATCTTTTCAAATTTAAGCTCAAGACAACAATACCTTTTGAATGATATAAAAAAATTTGCGTCAAAAATGGCTAATTAAAAAGTCGAAATTTGTCTGAAGAAAAAAAAAACCAAACCCGAGCACAAATATTCCGTTACTTTCGTATCGAAAGTCGGAACAAATATGCTGACTCTCTGGATCTGATAAAAACAAAATCAATATGTCAGTTGAATTTTACAAAAAAAAGGACAAGAAGTTGAATATCTCACAGTGAATGCTAACTCGAGAAAGTCAGTGGAAGATTTTTGCGGGAAAGCTGTCAAACGGCACAACAAAAAAGAAACGATGGCAATTCGAATCGAAGT